AAAAGATAAAAAGAATCAGTGAATTGAAGAGTTGGTTCTTTGAAAGAATAAACAGACAAATCTCTGGCCAGTCTTACCCCCCAAAAAAGAAAGAAAAGACCCAAATTCATGCAATTACAAATGGAAAATGTGAAATTATAATGGATTCTGCTGAAATCCAGATCATTGGCAATTACTTTCAGAACTTGTACTAATAAAATGGAAAACACAGAAGAAATGAGCAGATTCCTAGATACCTATGAGCTACCAAAGCAGAACCAAGAAGATATAAAAATACTGAATAATCCAATATGAGTCAAAGAAATTGAAGATGGAAAAAAAAAAAAAAAAAACTACAAAGAAAAGCCCAGGTCCCAACAGATTCACTGCCAAATTCTACAAGAACTTTTTTTTTTTTTTGGTACATTTTAGGTATACAATATAATGACATTCATCATTGGAAATTTGCACCTTTACATAATCTCTCTTGGTTCTTATTTTTCCCCTTCCCCTGCCCTCCCTTCAACCCCTCCACCCCTCCCTATTGACAAAGACTCTGTTTCCATTTTTTTTTCTCATATTAATTCCATTCCCTTCTTTCCTTTCCCCTACCCCTCCCACTTCCCCTTCCCCTTTGCCCCTTTTCTTCCTATTTCACATTATCTATTATACCTTTTAGTCCTTATTTACACTTTCACTTTCTCACACTAGAGAAGCTATTTGGTATTTACACGTGTGTCCTGTTTATTTCACATAAGAGTATCACCTCAATGTGCATCCATTTAGCTATAAATGACTCTAATTTCTCAGTTTTTATGGCTGAGTAGTACTCATTTTTAAAAACCCACATTTTCTTTATCCAGTCTCCAGTTGATGGGCATTTGTGCTCTTTCCAAGTTTTAGCTATTACAAATTGTGCTGCTATGAACATGGGTACACATATCTCACTGTGGTATGATTCTTTTAATTCTTTGGGGAAGATCCCCAGCAGGGGAATAGCTGGGTCAAATGGGATTTCCAGACCTAGTTCTTAGGTATCTCCATACTGATTCTACAAGAACTTTAGAGAACATCCGACACCAATACTCTTCAAATTCTTTAATGAAATCAAAAGGGAACCATTACTCTGATTCCAAAACCAGGAAAGGACCCAGCCAAAAAAGAGAACTACAGCCAATTTCTTTAATGAACATAGACACAAAAATCCTCAGTAAGATATAGGCAAACAGAATGCAACAAATCATGAAAAAGATGACCAAGTAGAATCCATTCCAGGAATGCAAGGATGGTTCAGCATATGCAAATCAATAAATGTAACAGAGCAGAGACAAAAGTTACATGATCTTCTGAAGAGACACAGAAAAAGCATTTGACAAACTTCAACATATAAAAAAACTGAAGAAAATAGGTATAGAAAGTCTTTATCTCAATCTGTACAAGCCATCTATAACAAACCAACATCATATTAAATGGAGAGCTGAAAGTTTTCCCTCTAAAATCAGGAATAAGACAAGGATGTTCACTACCACCACTTCTGTTTAATATAGTTCTCAAAACATTAGCCAGAGCAGTCAGGCAAGAGAAAGAAACAAAAGGAATATGGATAGGAAAGGAAGAAGTTAAAGTATCATCATTTGCAGATAACATGATCGTCTACATAGAAGACCCCAAAAACTCTACCAAAAGAATAACAAAATTCAGTAGCATAGCATGATTCAAAGTCAGCATTCAAAAAAATCAATAGTGTTCCTGTATACCAGTAGTAAATTCACCCAGAGAAAAATTAGGAGGAAATGCCTCTCATAATAGCATCAAGAAAAATGAAACACTTAGGAATTAACCTAACCAAGGAAGTGAGAGACTTTTACATTGAAAACTATGGTACTCTTTTAAAAAAGGAGATTGAAGAAAATATCAGGAAATGGAAAGATATCTCTGTTCCTGGATACAAAGAACAGATATAGTCAAAATAGATATACTTCCAAAAGTGTTATACAGATTTAACATAATCCCAGTAAAAAATACCATTAGCATTCCTCACATAACTAGAGAAAACAATCCTAAAATTCATATGGGACTCAAAGAGACCTAGAATAACAAAAGCAATTTTGGGCAATAAGAGCAAGGTAGGAGGCATTACAATCCCAGACTTCAAGTTGTACTACAAAGCTCTAATGATAAAAACAGCATGGAAAAAAAAACACCACCATGGTATTGGCACAAAAACAGACTTGTAGATCAACTGAAGAAGAGGATGCCTAAACAACTCCAGACATACTCAGCTACCTTATCTTTGGCAAAGGAACCAGCCACCTTCACTGGAAGAAAGATGGCCTCTTCAACAAATGGTACTGAGGGCCAGGGATTTAGCTAAGTGGCACAGCACCTGCCTAGCAAGCACGAGGTCCTGAGTTTGATCCCTGGTACCAAAAAAAAAAAAATGGTGCTGGGAAAAGTGGCTATCCTTATACTTATTGAATCTACTCATATCTCACTGTCCACTAAATTAAAATCAAAATGGACCAAAGATCTAAATATTAAAACAGAAACAATCTGCTGGGAAACAAAATAGGTAAAACTTTGGTCCATTTTGATTTTAATTAATAATACATTAATTAATACATAGTCATAGGCAAAGACTCTGAGCAGAACCCTAGTTGCACAAGAAATAATAGCAAAATCAACAAATGGGATCACATCAAATTAAAAAACTTCGGCACAGCAAAGGAAACCACCAAGAGTGAAGAGACAGCCTACAGAAAGGGAAAAGGTTCATCGTCAGTGCCCTATGAGGAATGTGATAATCATGTAATACAAACATGTATAAAAAATTTATATATAATTTATATATATATACATATATATACAGTCTGCAAAAATGTATACACACTTCAGGAAAAGAAAAACATGAATAAAAATTTTAATACTAAATTTATTGATACATCATGAGATTAATACAAGTTAGCTTTGGCCTCTACAATTAAAAGAAGTGGTCAAAGTAGTGGCCATTAGCTTCCAGGTATTTATTAGTACGGCAAACTGCTGCTTGGGTAACCTTGGTCATTGAGATTGCTGCAAATACATTTTTAATTTCTTCTCTAAGATCTGGCAGTGTTGTGGGTTTTCTGTGATATATGACACCCTCTAGGGTCCCCCATACAAGGGTAACACCATCTGTTGAAAAAACATACTAGTTTTCTTAAAGTGTGTATTCATTTTTGGTGGAATATATATATATTCATATATATATAAGGAGTCCAAGAGATGGAGGGGAGGGAGGGGATTAAAGAAAAAGAATTAAGAAATGTCATGTATATGTACTCCCCTTGATGAATGTAGTCATTATATACTACAGACATGTACAATGAAAAAATATTTTTTAAAGTAGGCAAAAAATGATAGCTTATGCTTCGAGTTCTTAGTGCTGCTTTCCATCTTTTACTCTCCTTGGAGTTTTTTGTTATTGAGTATGATTGACAAAATTGTATATATTTAAGGTATACATCATGTTCTTAGATACATACATCATGTTCTTAGATACATATATATTGTGAAATGTTTCTGCAACCAAGCTAATTAACATGTACATCACTCACATATTTACAGCAGTTCTTAATTTCTTCCACTTAGAAACATACTAACACAAGTCAAAACATACCCTTAAACAAGAAGAAAAATGGGCTGAGCATCTCACTCCCAGAGACAGATTATAAGTTACATGAATACTGTTCTAGATTAAAATTACAGCTTATTATCCTTATGATGCTTGATGTGCATCCCAAATTTAGCTACTGTGGCATCACAACCAAGAATACCTTATCCACACCTCAAAATCACTTTTTTCCTGACTCCTGTCACCCATTTATGTACTCCTGACCTCTAAATCCAGTCAGAATCTCCAATCTCCAGTAGGAAAACAAGCTCAAGGTTCTTCCCCCTCCCACCAGCTGTCATCCTTACTAAGCTTCTGTAGGTGCTAAAAGCCCTTAAGGAATGACCTTTTTCCTACTACCTATATTGGCTTTTTTCTTACTGTCTGTCAGAACCAAAAGATAGGTTCCCTGTGGCAACTTCTTACTTTTCTTCCTGGAAGATTAAATAGGGAGACCCTTAGCCAAAAAGTTCTCAAAGTAATCCCCATCCTCACATTCAGCTTTTAAGAAGTGGGGAAGACAATTATTAGGTGCCCAAGAATAGTTTGGTCATACTTAAACTCTCATTTATTCATAATAATAGTTTAGCATTTATTCTTCATTACTAGGACATAATCAAGTTCAAGTAATTAGAAATTGCCTATCAAATTAACTAATTTCTGCTTTTTACCTGTGCTTTACCTGATTATTTGTTGCTCATGTACTGTGATCAGCTACTTTCAGTCAAAGAAGTAGAATTGCTAAAAAGTACTCATCTCTGCCATATAATTAATATACCTAGAATATCTTGGGTTTAAAAGAAATTTTTTTAACTAAAGGGTTGGAGTCTTCTCAGTAACCTTTAGGGATTCTTGGCTTTCTTCTAGAATTTTGCATGCTTTGAAACTACCCATCTTTATGGTATTACATCTATTTAGGAAATCTAGTATCATTAGCCTGGAGCATGTGTGTCTTTCAAAAGCCATTAAAAAGCTACTAACTCTTACTATAAATCACAAATTCCTTAGATTGGGGAACAAGCTTGGAAATAAACATGCTGATGCTGCCCAAGATAAATGATATAGTGTTGGGTTTTTCTGATACTAGTTAGATAACCAAACTGCCACATTTTAAGAGATTCATTCCCTTTGGTTTATTACCTACACATCTGATTACCCTCATTCTGCGGTAGTTGCTGCAGTGCTACCATTCTCCCATCTTCCAAGAGAGATAGCTTGTTCAGAAGTTCTGTGAGACTCAAAGGAATGATCACTTTTTTCTCTGTATCTGATAAACATATGGAACCTTTGGTATAGCAGATAATATTTGTTAGTTTATATACTTTCATATTTTTGTGATTAGACTTCTAAAATGTCTTGTTTTTTATAGGACAATGAAGGTCAAACAGCACTTCACTATGGTAAGATGCTTCAAAACTATTAAATAATCATATTTGAACATTTTTTCTGTTTGTCTCAACTTTGTTCAACCCTGTATAGTGCTTACAAAAGTACTTAGTAGCTAGCAGAGATATAATAACTTCTGGTTACTAATCTAACAAGTAGATTAATAACCTATAAAGTTGGAGATGCATTGAAATTCTTATGGGCACATGAATAGTAAATTAAGTATTTCTATACTGTCATCAGGAAAGTGATGGCTTCTCCAGCCTCCTGTTGAAGATTCAGTATTTCATTCTTAGTATTGTCAGTGACATCTAAGATGCTAATCGCTGTCACTGAGGAGCTAGCATTTCTCAATAAGAAATACTTTCTTGATGTACAGTAGACCCCCATATGTGCAGTTTTACTTTCTGCAGTTTCAGTTACCACAGTCTACTGTGATCCAAAACTATTAAATATTCTGAAATTTCTATAAATAATAAATTTTAAATTGTGTGCTCCTCTGAATAGTATGATAAAATCTCATGCCATCCTGCTACACCAAGACATGAATCACCTCTTTGTCCCATCTACTCATGCTACACACACTGCACTCCCTGTGTGTTAGTCCCTTATTAGCCATCTCAGTTATCAGCAACTGATCATGTGCTTGTGTTCGAGTGACCTTTTAGTAGTGTCCAAATGCCTGTATCATTCATCTCACTTCATCTCATCATGTAGGCATTGTATTGTGTTACATTATGAAAAGAAGAGTGAACACAATACAATAAAATATTTTTGAGAGACAGAGACCATATTCATGCAACTTTTATTGTATTTTATTTAGTGTATTGTTATAATTCTATTTATTATTAATTACTGTTGTTAATCTTCTGGGCCTAATTTATAAACTTCACCATAAGTTTGTATGTATGTGTATGTGTAGCATTGTATATAGATAGAAATCTATACCTATATTATATAGATATTATATATTATATATATATATAAAATAGTTGTATATAGGGTTTGATATTATCTGAGATTTTAAGAATCCACTAGAGGTCTTGGAATGTATTCCCCAGATAAAGGGTGACAGCTATAATTGAAGTAAAGAAAAACAAATTTGAGTTTTAACTCATTTCTGCTACTAACTGATCAGTGTAGTTAATTAATCTTTACATGAGTAATCTGTAAAATAGAGTAAAAATAATCCATAAGATAAAAATAATAGTATGGCTCTTAAAGAACTATTAGAAATTATTAGTGAAATAAAAGATATTAATCTATTTCATAAAGTATAAAGTGTGTGAATATATTCAAAGATTCTGTTTGTTTGTGAATGTGGTTGAATTAAAGGCAGTTATCAATATTTAAACCAGATTCAGGATGAACAACCTTCAGACATTTTGGGAAGGAGTACATTAGGCCATTTTGCTATTCTTGGCAAATCCAGACTGCTATTAACATTTATTTAGATATGAGGTAGCTCACTGGGTTATCTAAGAATCTAACTATTGGACTAGCTGTCATACTACCCATAATAATAATAGCCTGATAATGAAGATTGAAGTGTCAATAAATGTCTACCCCAACTTATTTTTGAGTTTATCTAGTATAACCTGGGGACTTCAACCAGCAGGAAGAAAAGCAATTGTGAGTTAATCTCACTTTTAATATAGATGCAAAAATTCTTTGGAAAATATTAACAAATTAAATCCATCTGTGTATTTTAAAAAGAAAGATATGTCATAACCAAATTGGGTTTATTCAAGGAATTTCAAGGATGATAGAACATTTTAAAATTTATTAGTGTAGTGTTCCACATTTGCAGTTAGCTAAAACACCATACAGTGAAGTCAAAACTTTTGATAAAATTCAGTACTCATTCTACAAAGCAGTATAGAAAAGTAGCTAAAGCCTTGTGCTTTTAAGCAAGACTTCTGTGTTCAAATTCCATTCTACTACTGGCTTGGGACAGATTATTTAACTCATTGTATTTCAGTTTACTCCTGATAAAATAAGGATAGTAATCTCAAAGATTTGTTATGAGAACATAATAAGTTAATACAAGTAAACTGCTTAGAATAGTGTCTGACGGCTGATATATATATTCAGCTGATTTTATATTTTATGATAAAAACTTTTAATACACTAGAAATGTGTAGTTAGGTTTGTAACATCAATAGATATAACAATATTGCCACCAAAAGAGAGTCAGTGGAAGAGAGCTGCATAGGAGCAATGTTTCTGTATATCCTTGGGATAAAGCTAGTTTAAATCAAGCTGATTCTGATAAGACCAGAATGGTAAATCCTAGAATGACTACAAAAGAAAAAACTTAGGGCGGGGATTTAGCTGAGTGTTGCCGCCGCCTGCGTTGCAAGTGCAAGGTCCCGAGTTCGATCCCCAATACCAAAAAAAAAACACCTTAAAAGTCTTAAATCAGTAAAGAAATTCAAATATGACATTAAAAGTATAGACTGTAGGGCTGGGGATTTAGCTCAGTGGTTTCGCCGCCTGCTGCGCAAGCGCAAGGACCTGAGTTCAATCCCCGGTACAAAAAAAAATATAT